ATGATATCACAGTGGTGTAAGAGTCAGGGAATAGAATTGCCAAACCCTGTTCAGTATGGTAAACAGGAGGGGGTAACAAAAGCAGAGCATGATCATTTCTTTTCTTTGCTCGACAAGTTGTCTGCCACGCTTCCTGAGCAGAAGGAAGCAGCGAAGGAGCTTCGGTTGTTGACAAAAAAGATGCCTTCATTCCGGGCTCTTTTTGGTGAATCTGTTGACGCCATTCCTCAACTGCTCACTCCACTCTCTGGAAGCAAATCTCAGGGTGGTGTTCACCCTGATCTCCAGGAAGATGTGATCACGACACTCTTGAACCTTTCAATCCATGACAGCAATAAGAAGCTCGTTGCCGAAACTCCAATGGTTATTCCTCTTCTTATGGAAGCACTGAGATCTGAAACTATTGAAACAAGGAGCAATGCAGCTGCAGCCCTTTTCACTCTATCTGCCCTTGATTCTAACAAGGCACTTATTGGTAAAGCAGGTGCCTTAAAACCTCTCATTGACCTTCTAGATGAGGGTCATCCATTAGCAATGAAAGATGTTGCTTCTGCAATATTTAACCTATGCATTATTCATGAGAACAAGGCAAGAGCTGTGAGGGATGGTGCAGTAAGGGTCATAATAGAAAAGATTAGGGATGGTGTGCATGTAGATGAGTTATTGGCTATCCTTGCAATGCTTTCAACCCATCAAAGGGCTGTTGAGGAAATAGGGGAGCTTGAAGCTGTTCCATACTTGCTTCGTATTGTCAGGGAGAGCACTTGTGAACGCAACAAGGAAAATTGCATTGCAATCCTCCACACTGTCTGTCTGAATGATCGAACCAAGTGGAAGGCACTAAGGGAAGAAGAGAACACCTATGGAACAATATCTAAACTTGCTCAAGATGGAACTTCTAGAGCCAAGAGAAAAGCTACTGGCATTCTTGAGAGACTGAGAAGGGCTGTTAATATTACTCATACGGCATGAAGATATTACCCAATGCAACACTACCAAGCACATCATTTGTAAATTCTGTTTCCAACACCTGGTGATCAGTGCTGCTTATCATCATCTCGATTTTGTAAATTCTTGTCCCTCATCAGAGTTTTAATTTCAGTTTTATGAGTTAGCCACTGTTAATAAACACGTTGGAAGCTTATGTTTATAAGATTTTCTCTTTTGTTTGGTCCAATAGTTTTTTTTATGGCATTTGGGTTATCTAGATAGCAGAATCTTGGCATTTTTTACTTGTTTCATAGCAGCCACTCCTGTTCTTACTCGAATGTCAGTCATGCATCAGATTCTCTCTTTTGTTTTGATCCAGTAGTTCCCGCACAATCCACATGGCCCATTTAGCAGCTACTTGAATTTTACATGCCATTGAACTGTTTCCCCTTTGTACCAGTTGCACTTGGTCCTTGAGTCTTGGATTTACGCCAGAAAAATTTATCTTCTAACTTCTGCGTCGTCCTTTGTTTTGTCCATAACCTATGCGTCGTACAATTTAGATACTTTAGAATTTTTCACGCACTAGCAAAGGCGGGCTCTTTCATTCAACGTCCAACCGAGGAAAGAGACAAATCTCATTATCACACTATGGATGATTCATAAATGAATCCAAAAGTTGAATGAATGGTCCTCGAAAGAGTTGGCTATGGAGCGGGAAGAATGTGTCCATAATGAATGGCGTGGTGATTTCTGGTGTTGTGGTCCATCCAATTTGGTGCCCAAAGCCTTCAATGTAACAGTTACTGCCCAAATCCCTACCCGAGAAAGGGAGAAAGCCTATTGTCTTCCTTGTTTTTTCCTTGTACTTGTCTCAACCTAAAGGTAGCAAATACTAGTTTCCTTTAACATCGTTTCTTTTCCTAGCTAGCAATGAGATGAACGGGTAATGAATGTGAGAAGACGCTGTAAGGTTGAAACTGGGATATGATAGTGACTTGTATTATCTCTCCAGCGGCTGCAGCTCCTAACCCTGTCTAAGTCCTAGCAATTCGAGGTCCAGAAGACAACTGCGTAACAAACATTCCGTACCGTATTTCAATGCATTACTTGAAAGCGTGTGGTCTAGAGTCTCAAAATCTGGGTGCCCAAACTTTGATGATCACGGTTTTGCCTTGATTGGTCAAGTAAACATGAAACCATGTTCCAATGCCTTCATTTTAATACTCTGTGCATTACTAGGAAAAGTCCAGATTTGAAATGTTTACCATGTTGAAATGCTAACTGATCCGTATACTTTGTGCATTAACGGTAACAGTGTTTTTGCTGAAATTTGCCAAGAAAAAGCAGTACTCATGGGATGTTTGACAACATCATCATCTGGACAAAAACATACCACCCCAGAGCAATGGAAAGACTTCAAAAAGTAGATATTCATTTTAAAACTTTTAACCTTTTTATCACAAGACAGAATCATTTGCCCATGGAATGTTGGAGCTCAGAAGAAAAAACTCAACCAAGTGACACTTGGTTCTGCTGCCCTCTTAGCTGCATGCATGGGAGATCCGGGAGGGCTCCGGGTAGAGTACAGAGAGGCCGTTAGTGTTGTATGCTAAATCAAACAAATTCAACCACCAAAATGGGTCTACCATGTGCCACTTGCCGACCGGAATGGCTCACGGCTCATGCCATCCATCAAGTCGCAACCTTCCAAAGGGAGGGATGTGCATGCTTTGTCCCGTGCTGTAGTTGTACACATGGACAGAGTGGTGAGTGCCACTTGTACTCTCGCAAATCACATCCATCCATAACTAAAAGTATAAGAAAAACCCACTTCGCACATTTCTTTTTACATGTGAACAAATGACTAATCTGTGTAAATCTGAAACCAAGCAAATACAACTAATATTTGATATTTATCCCTGGAACAAAAAAAATCAAGAGTCACAACTATTGATGTATGATTGTTGAATTATTGTGGTTGATGCGATAAGATATGACTGAATAATTGGTCCATGTGCTGGCCCTTTGGTGTTTGCAAGTTATGTGAAGATGGTCTATTCATTCACTTATGGATGGCTAAATGAAAAATTAGAATCTTTTCATGGAAAACTCGAAACAAAAAATAAATGAAAGGCATCCATTGGAAACCACCCTGTTTGGAACAAACAAAAGCTTGTGTATTGAAAACAACCCATTGAGGTGACCTGCTCTACTACTACCAAAGGTGCATAAGAAAAGGAGTGAAATAGAGTGGATGGATCCTCCACCTCCTCCTCCTCATCCACAGACCACAATACCCACATAAATGCAGATTCCATGATTCTTAATTTCCCTTCCCTTCCCTTCCCTTCCACCGTTTTTGTCAATGCTAATAATCAAACATCTGCACAATCTTTGGGGCTTAGTCAAATTTATCAGGCTACCTACCTATAACTGTTTGCATAGAGTTACAAAAATTCCTCACCGACACAAGATGGGATATAACAAATTGAAACCCCACCCTTCCCCATTTCATTGGTTTAATTATGTCTTTATCCATCCGCAGGAAACATGTCCATTTTTCTTCTTAATATTTACCTGAGTTTTGGGCATTAAGGCTTGCATACTTAAGATTAGTTAGAGACTGTTCAAATTAATACTATAATATAATAACAGTAAGATTAAACTTTAGGCAGTGGTCCACCTTTTGATCCCTATCTTTGAAAACCAACTCAAGAGAAGATGTCACTCATTATGCTATCAGAATTTTTTTTTGAAAGAAAAAAACCAACTTTTTAAATATATTTTTTTAATAATTAAAAAATCAGGATTTAAATTTTTACTTTTAAACAAAAAATCATTCACTAATCAATTACCCAAATATTAAAGTATAACTCTCTAAATTTGATTACAACCATAATAGAATAAGCAACTTCTAATTTGATTTAGGCCAAAATCTATCTTCTTCCTTAGCTCAATTGATAAAAGGAAAAAACAACAATGATTTAATTCATTAATATTAAAACTTCCCAGACATTCAATTCCCTCTTCCCTTCCCTTCTCTTGGTAACAGTTGAAGAAGAGTCAATGTGCTAACGAGGTTGTCCCCCTTTCTTAATAGAAGGCCCAACAACACGTAAGCAAGAATTTCCCAGAGAGGACTTTTTTGGCAAGGAATTATTGAAACCCAAGTTCAAAACGTTAATCATTCCAAATTTTAAACTTTATTTGGTGGGGAAATAATATTTTTATTCATGCGGCGCCATCACCACCCTCGAACTATTGAGATGATTAGCTGATGGGTTATTTTCAGGACAGATCAAGATGGGTAATGTGCAATGCATAGACTTTATTTTAAGTCATTTCTCGGATAGTTATTCAAGTTGTTGCTATCGTTGATGTGATAACACCAAACTCTTTTTATTCATTTAGCCCCACCCTATAAGAATCGCCATGTTGGATGAATTGTATGCTTCGATGGTGAACCTTTCGGAATGCTTGATGAAACATTTGAATATTTGCACTCTATTCTACAATGTAAACCGACTCTACTTAAAACATTTCTATACATCTTGGTACTCAAAATCTTTGACCCTTAATCAGAGCAAAGATGAATTATGTTGCCCTGCTTCTTGTAGAACAGTGCAGACTATGAAGATTGAGCAGATAAGATTACGAGGTAGCTCTTTGAAAAATGAGTGTGTTTACGGGTTGAAATGCTTCATGTGCTTCAAGGATGCAATTACGCAGATAAGGATTAAAACTCATAGCTAGCCATGACATTCACATTGGGACCGTGCAACTGTCAACACATGAGATACCGATCTTTACTATAGTCGCAGATGGCGAAATATCTTGTTAAAAAGCTTGTTTCAGCGGCAAGGATGGTTGGTGGGGGATATGTGTAATTTTAGGTTTTGGAGGATACTGGGTTTTACAGGACCACCTATCCATCGAAGAGTAGTAGACTTCGGAGATGGATCTATCTTTGAGACTATCAAAAGCTCAAAATTTTCATTCACAGCCACTCCGATTACCAAGAATTACAAGGATGACATGGCCCCACATATACTAAAATAGATATCTTATAGAACAAAACCGTAAAAATTGATAGATGAAACATGCACCCATTAGTCCTGACAAAGAACCGACATTCCCCACTGTAGCAATGTAAATTGGTCTCTTTCCAACCCTTACAAGGCCACTCATCTATAGCATGATTTAGTTTTACTAACTAAATCTGTACAATGTCAAGTAAATGTTACAAGAATAACTGTACATTTCCAGACGATCACATGCCCTGGTAAATGGCATGGCATTACACACTGAAGCCAACACAAAATTATCTATATCTACCAAACATGTTTGATGATATATACCGAACAGATGCGGCAGCTCTGACCAATATCTTCACAATACTTGTCATCACCCTAGCTAAGTCATCGCATGTTCAGCAAAATTATCAGAACATTCGTCCTTTAGTTCGCCCTGTAAGCCCAACCATGTTTATCTAAATATGCTTGGACTGCCTCCTTCATTGCCAAGTTAGGTACAAGCTGGGATTGATTGAGTGGCTCTCGCGTGATTGGATCAAACTTACCAACCTGGTTTCCAGCAAGTCAATGATTAATGTTAGTGTTAAAAAGAAATGGTATCTAAGCCTAGGCATCCAATATCTCCAAAGCACATGTCACCTTTTGAAGATGGTCAAGGATCACCGCTCTCTCATATGTAACTCCACTTGGAGTAATGACAGGATCACGGAAAATATCAAGTGTGATTTTACAACACAAGTAATCCGGCACCTGAAACTATCTATCAGTATCTATACCACAATATAATATAACATGTATAAATGAAAATAGAAACAAAATATATAAAATAAACAACCCAGATTCCCACCTCACTAGGGAGGTCAGCTTCACCAGCTTCCCTAAACACTAGTCCCAGAGCCTCCAGATGTTTTGAACGATCATCTTCTGAATAAGAACCATCAACAATAGGTTTTTCTCTAAGAGCAATTTCACAAACTTCCCTGAGAGACACAGGAAAGAATTGTATGAAGCAACAATAAACATTAAGAAAAATTCTCTGTCAAAAATGTTTAAAAGAGGTGATCTTTCCCCTCAAAGCAAATGACTAACTCACAGGGATGACATACTTCAAGCTTTGCAATTCCCATGAACGTTTGGTTGATGCATGCTCCCATTGCAGGTATTTTGCTTTTGCAAGCTCCTGCCAAATCTCCTCCACCATATAACCCTTTGGATTTGCACCCCTTCCTAGATCCATTGCCTACATAAGCAAGTTAGTCTGCAAGAACCGGGACTAAATGCACAGCCTAATGAACTGTTCATTATAGTATTCACAACACTTAATCACATTGAAAGCAAAATTATGCAATAATCCTAAACCTGCTTGTCCACACCATGGACCTAAACAAATGCCTGCTATGGTTATCATAATACACCTCATATTCATCCTTTTAACCTCTATGCTATACAAGCTAAAGACCAAGGTGCTAAATACAAAAGCCAAGAAAGAATCACCAAAATAGCTGGAAACACAACAGATGACAAGATGATGTTTTCTGTGCAAAATCTGACAAATGATCTTCCTCAACAGATGATCTTTTTCTTTGGTTTTTTCCGTTCAATGCTCTGATGGGTCCCTTGCAAGAAAGGACAGCAAAAAAGGAAAAGCTCTCAAATGCATCCTAAATCAAAATGAATTTTCAGCAATCATTTTCTTTCTGTCAACAATCCTCTTCCCTTGACCAAACTATGATGGTGAAAGCTTCAGCTAAGAAGAAATCAATCAACATAATAAGCTGACTCAACACTTTTTGTTAAAGATCCAAGCCCATATAACAAAATATACCAAATGAAGCCATCATAATAGCAGACAAATTAAAAACCAGAGAAACTCCATTTTTTTATGGTACATGAAAGTGGCTTCTGTCCCCTTCAAAAATTATACAGCAACTTGCTTGCTACAATTAAGTCCTAAAGGATAAAGGAAATAAAAAAAAAAAAGCTAAAAACACACTAGTGGAATATAGATTCCACCCAATATATACCAAACTATGCCCTGCTCAACTACTACTAGACTTTAAAAAGCATTTTGACTACAGAGAAATTTCTACACTTGAAAAAGAAAGAAAAAAATGGCTGCCCCACGATACTATCAATTACGGTACAAAAATTTTTGCAATTACATAACTAAACATAGAGCTCATTTGACCAGGGTGGAGATTCATTGAAAAGTGCAAGGTACAGCTTTTCGAGAAGCACCATCATATTGAAATTATGACTGTTATGTTAATTCAAAATTTTCATTAAATATGTCTTTAAGCATCTCAGGGCAACTTTCTCAAAATCTCCAACTTGGGGCCTCAGATTTGGGTCTCTAAAAGCTTATTTTAAATTTATTCAGAAACTAAAAGCTGTTTTTCTAGAAACCCATGCTTGCCTAATTTTAGCCTTCCATGATACAGAAGTTATGGCAAAAGCCGGACCAAATAGGCACATACTCCACAAGAATAGTGAGCTCTGATATCAAGAAATACATCTGTTGAAGTTAATTCATTCCCATTTGAGCATTAGCAGCAATGTTAAAAATATGGATGTGAATGCACCCAATATAAATATACATATCAAATGCAATTGTCTTGACATTAAATGAGAAGGAAATAACAAGAACATCAATACAATAGTGTAACAGGTGCATATCATATGTGATGATAAATAAAACACGAAAAATGATTGCACATAGTAACTTAAACAATCTTAAACAAAATAAATTAAAGTGAAGCACTAAGATAACTGTTTCTAATACACATAGATTTCTGTCCATTTAATTCAAAGAATATGGAAAAGGTGAATATCAAAACAATCCTACAAAATTTAATGGTTTCATTTGCATATTGTTCCTGATTCTTAAGAAACAGAAAGATTTAACATGTCACTCGTACCTTTTGTAGTTCCTTGACCCCTTCATCAGATTCTGCCTTCTTTAGCGAGGCCAGTCCCAGCATGTAGTGTGCCTGTCATGCAGGAGGAAAATGTAACTAAACACTGTTACTTGAAATAGTACAGGAAAAGGATATGCATACAAAGCTTAAAATAAGCCAAACTCCCGTTACTGAGGGACGAACAAACAAAAATGGACATAACAACGCAGCTAAAGCCAGTAGGAAAAAGGTTAGAAAGTTAGAGAAAAAAAGAAGGTTCTATGTGAGACTCACTATAGGTTATTTTTAGGTCAAATTATGAATTTAGTCCCTGGACTCCACCAAAATGTTGATTTTAGTCCCTCTACTATAATTTGTATAAATCGAGTCCCTATACTGTTTAAATTCCTTAATGTCAGTCCAATTGTTAACACCATCAAGCTTCTTCCATTTAAGTTGCTGATGTGGAATTGAGCAATATTGATGTGGAATTTTTTAGATTTTACAGGTCAAATTCTAAATTTATGTACTCCAATTGTTAGTATGGTCAAGCTTTTTCGTCAAAGTTAATTGCTGATGTGACATTGACCGATGCTAACACAACATTGACTGGTGCTAACATAGAACTCCTAAACACTAATAGGACCACAAACGGTAATAGACAAATAAAAATCCAAAAAAGTTAACAACAATTTCTTACATTAACCTGTGCAAATCTCTTCAAACTTTGCTTCAAATTCCACTTTGTGCCAGTGTCCTTTGATTCTGTTTTTACATTACAAAACTTTTGGTTCTCTTCCACCTCTTTCAGATTCTCTCTCAAACACTATCAAAAATTTTTAACCCTTCTTTAGATGCCATGTCTCGATTCTTTCCTTTTCTTCCAATTCTCTCTCTACATCATTCAACTTTTGGTTCTCTCATATTCCTATAACAATCAAGGTTATGAGAAGTTTGATGCAAATGGCTAAAATCACCCATTCAATCGAATAAGTATCAATTCTTACATTTCGATGGAGTTTCTCTCTCTGGATTCACTACATTTTAATCCTAATTGGTTTAATGAATTGCTAACATTTTATTTTAAACCCTTGTTTATTTCTTTGTTGGTTGTTTAACCTTAATTAGTTTAGTGTTTAATGTATATTTGGGACTTTTAACTGTTTGGGTAGCAATTAGTGTCAGGTGGCCACCTAAAAAATCACATCACATTTTTTAAGGTTTAAAATCCCAAAAATTCCATATCATTTATATCAATACTGGTCAGCTCCATGTCATTATTGATGAATGACACGTCAACTTGGTCAACATCATGCCAACATGGTTAACATTGTGTCAACACTTTAATGGACCAAACTTGATGGTGTTAACAATTAGATTAACATTTTACTAGAATTTTGAAAGTATTAGACTAACAGTTAGAGGGTGCTAACAACTTTACCAAATTTTCAAAGTACAGAGATTTGATTTAGATGAACTATAACACAGGACTAAATCCAACATTTTACTAGAATACAGAGACCAAATCCAATATTTTGGTATAGTATAGGAACTAAATCCAACATTTTGATAAAGTACAGGGACTACATTCAACATTTTTGATAGAGGACCAGGACAAAATCCAACGTTTTAGTATAGAGACGAAATTCATAATTTGACTATTGAAATCCCATCAATTCCACATCAAACACTGATAAACATCACATCAACACTGGTCAATGCCACATCAGCACCGGTTAACGTCACATCAACAACTTTAAAGGCAGAAGCTAGACAGTGTTAACGATTGGACAAACATTAACAAATTTTGAATGTATAGAGACTCGATTTGTACGATTATGCTAGAAAGACTAAATCCAACATTTAGATAGAGTGCAGGGACTATATTTATAATTTAAACTTATTTATAATTTAGCATAAAAGGAAGTACAAAACCAATGAGCTAATCTATATATTCTTACACCAACCCCCTCTAATCATATTGTGACATGTCATTAGCATTGAATTAGTTAGTTTTGCGTACGTGCATCATTGTAGATTAAATTTCATATTATTAGTTCAATTTCTTTTTTTTATTATTTTTTTATCTCAGCATCTTGAAACCATGTCCCAAGCTTCTGACCACTTTGATTTACAATCTTCTTCCCCAAAATGTTCTAGCCTCAATTTTACCTCCAAAAAAAAAAAAAGATGCTAATGACCTCTTTTAGAGGTAAAATGGGCTCTGTGGAACAGCAATATCTGCTATGGATCAAAAGTTAAATCAAATAGTAAGGAAATTGAATGAATGTAAACTGAGCTAGGAGGTTGAACCCATAAAATTGACTAAAAAGCATCTGTACCTCTAAAATCTAGTAAAGGTAACAAACTTTGGGAATGGTCAAATTCTTAGACAAGTTGATAGGGGTCATTGGATTAGACAAACCCAAGACCCTCCAAAGTCAAAGGATGACGCAATTGATTGTGATGAAGAGTTTGTGAGTGGTCCATCTAGTTCCAAGCATGCATATCATTCTAAAGAATCATTTAGAACTGGTAAAGATTCTGACGCTCGAAGGGAATTTGAGTTGGATAGTCTACATATTAAGGGTCCTAGAAATTTCCATAGGCATAAGAGGGCTATAGGCGTTCTCTAGGCAGCATGAAGATTACCTAGGTATGGTAGAAATAAATGATAGGCACTATCATGAAAATTCTGATGCTCACAAATTAGATAAGGTTGATCTGTGATCTTTTAAAAGAACTCTAATGAGTTCTTAGATTGGCCAGAGAGTCAGAGGACTATTTTTAGTGCGTCACCTGAATGAATAGAAAAACTGCGGTTTGCTAAAATGAAATTAGTAAGTGCAACCAAGAAATCCAGAATGGTGTCCAACAGACCCTAGAAAATTTAGGCAAGCCTCTATAACTCACTGCACTATAATGAGAAAAAAATTAAAAGATAAGTATTTACCCCCTACCATAGAAGTCAGTTATATCACCAACGGGTAGGCCTTAGACAAACCACTACTGTGTCAAGTTACATGGACATATTTGATGAACTTATGCTAAGGGTGCAAATGATGGAAGAACCTTTTCATACAGTTTGAAGACTTATTCATGCCCTTAAAGAGGAGATTAGGAGGGTTGTGGAGTTGTCTACTCCAGCTTCTTTAGATAAAGCTTACCAGAGTGCTTTAGTTGCTGAGATATATACTAACTGTTTCCCAACATAGGACTTCTTTGAGTTTGGCAATGATCAATCTAGAGAAGCCTCATTCTCAGAGCATAAAAATGATTACACTACAAAGAACAAGGAATTGTCTTCACTTAATCCTAGTGGTCTTAATGGTTCTACGACTTCTAGAAGTTCTTCAATTAGTGTTTTCAATGCCATGGTATAGGTCACATAGCTTCACAATGTCCACAACAAGCCTTACTAGTATACCAAGACTTTGTGGAACCCTTAAATGGAAATGTTCAAATAGGGGATCCTCTAGAAGACATTGAGGATAAAGATGACATTGGAAAGGATGGTAGTGCTCACCAATTTACTATGATAATGGGTGATTTAGATGTTAGAGATGGATTAGAGGGTGGTGGTGGGAATGAGATCACCTAAGTTGATAGTGTGCCTATCAAGTGTACAAGTATCTTTCGTTCCAAGGGTTTTATGATAAAAAATGAGAATAGTAATTGTGATTTGAAGTTGGCTATTGTTAGGATTGATCCTAAGATTAACATATCAAGATATTTGGTGCAGCTTGACTGATGGATGCCATTAATTTGCTTCAATCTGTCCCTTATTTTGAACCTTATTCAGACTTCAGATTGAAGTTTGAAAGGGCAGTAAAAAATTAAAATTGACTCATTTCCTTGGGAAATAATTAAGGAGTCTAGGATGAGTTGAAGCTCGATGTCAGCTTCCCATGAAGCCTCAAACACATGAATGCTCACCTAAAGATCTTCTCATTGTTCCACTAAACATAATCTATTATTACATCCAAGAAGAATCAAGAAAAAACAAATGGGCCCCGAGGCAACCTTCTAACAAGCAAGGAAAGAAGCCAAACTCTTTCAAGATGTCCATGGGTACGTGGTTTTTCAGGTTAATTACGCATTGTTCGTAATGGAAAAAAAAAATCAGCAAAACAGAATATAAAAAGGAGATTACCTTCACAGAACTGTAGTCAAGCTGTATAGCTCTCCGGCAATCCTGCTCTACGCTCAACCAATTACTGCGTGAAACCAATAACCAAATGATACCAAGAAACAAAAACACGTTAAAAAACCATTTTTTTCCTAAAAAAAAAGTACATTGTGTCAACAGAATTACTTAAAAAAGGATGGGTAAGCGTACATACTCGCGCCTGAGATGGCAAAGAGCGCGATTCGTCCAATACACAGGAACATTAGGGCATAAAGTAATCGCCTTTAAACATAAAAATTAAAAAAAAATTACAAAACAAAACTAATAAAACCATTAATCGAAAAATAAAACATAAGAAAGGTTTTGTTTACCTCAGTATAAGCATCAATGGCAGCCCCAAAACGACCTTTCTTGAAATAATTATTCCCATCTTTCCTCAATTGCTCCGCTTGTTTCGCCGCTGCGCTCAATGCAGAACCCGGCCCCATTCTTTTCTTTATATTTTATTTCACGGTCAAGCGTAAACTGATGATCTTTGCTTTTCTCTTTCTTGAAATGAAATCTGTGTCTTTCGCAACGCCAATTAAATCTGCGTTTTTCCTTCCTCTTGCGCTTTGTCTAGAAGTTTCTGCTTGGAATGAAAGGCAAGTTTTATATTTAAACGTGTGAAATGAAATTGAGAGACGGGAAGCAGCACGGTTTCGAATAGGGTTCAAGAGCGTTCCTAGTGGAAGCAACGCCAACACGCAACGCTTTTCGAATTTTGAGAAATTTCACAACTACGACCCTTACACACATCAACACAAAAAACTCTCTTTGCCCCTCTATTTAAGTTTTCCCCATCTTTGGCACTGATCACGTCACGTGCTGGGGATGCAGTTCTCTCACAGCCGAATATCACTGGAGGAAACTTTATATTTACGTCGTTAGCTTTTTTGTCAATAAATTGCCTTGTTTTCTTTTTCTGAAAAATGAAAGTGGGAGGAGCATTTGGATTAAAAATCAATTTTTTAAATTCACTTTGGGAGTCAATGGATAACAACTACACCTTGGTTGGAGATATTTATTTCATTTTATAGTGGAAGCATTAATTTATTTTTATGTTTTTATTTTTTTTAAATACATTTTCTCTAATCGATAAAATATTAAATAAAAAACTCTCAACATATTCGGAACTTAAACTCAAGCTCATGTAATCAACCCCAAAAACATACCTTATAGATAGTAAAAAATTTACGTTTTTAACTCAAAAAATATGTTTAAAAAATGATAAAAAATTCATATTTATGTACCTACTTCATCTCATCTTTTACTAACATGAGATCTGTAACACAACTCATGACAAAATTAATTTTTATAATAATTTTTTAACTTAAATTACATGATTTACAAACACTTAAACTCAAATTATTGATAACAGTTAACTTAAACTGTTACTTAAACTTTAATAATCATATTTTCACGTGGCATGGACCATCGCAATCAAAACCCACACCAGAAACCAAAATCTCACCAAGACAATGTAAAAGCTCACACTTAATTAACACCATTTTCTGATACCTATTGTAACAAGCTAAACCCATGCAGCACCAATCCATAAAAGTGATGTTGGATTTCATTAAAACATCTTGCTGAGAAATAAAAAATAAAATTCCATGATTAGAACATGTCTGACTACAATCTTATTATGACATAAGAGGGCAGTTTATCCCATTTTGACAAGCTTTTCTTTCTTATTTTAATGTTTCCATTTCGAAATAATGGCTAAGGTTGGTTGAATCATACAACCTAAAAGGAAGGGTCAGCTGAACTATGTGGCAGATAGATAGAGGCACATAGAAATAATCCAGCAGCTTTACTATTATCATCCTTGAAATACAACAAAATCACCAATATCATCACAACTCGAGATTCAACATCTCAATCCATATATATTACCCCCACTAAGTTTACAGGGAAAGGCTTTCGCACAATTAATATGATTGCGAACAATTTTCACACAATCCATGAAAACTTCGTATTCAGAGCAGCCACAAGATGCAGAGATGTTAAAGAGATGATGATTTATGTAGCTTGCTAGGATATACGAGACAATCACACTACAATGACGTCATGCATGATCACGCAGCAGTGATTGTTATTGTGACTTTTTGCGATACTAGCATGTCTTCAACAAGCAAGAATGAGAATGATTGCAACACTATGATGAAAGAGACGACTCCATATACCACTCACCTTTTATCCTTTTCCTTTCATGCAGCCTGAAACTATTTCTACCTTAAAGAACAGAAACATCGTGAAGGTCCTACAAGATTCTTGAAAGAATGGACTATCTACTTTTATGGTACAAAAACTAGTATAGTAAATGCAAAGATGTGTCACATGTAGATTACAGCAGGCCGTTGATCCCACAAATTTCATGACAGACTCGACACTTGAACCTTGCTCTTTTCGGAAATGTTTAGCAACAATTCTCGAACACGACTTGCGAGACCTGATGTTTCCTGGTCCAACTTTAAGGGACGCCGGTGCAAACTCTGTAAACATTCCAACAGGTCATATATTTCTCCTGAAAGGTTACTCCAGTCTTGCATGACTAGAAAACAAAAACAAGTAAGCAAGAGAAGCATACCTCAGAAGTCCACAGGCAATCACGTGCTTTACGAGGGATTATGTGAATATGAGTCTGAAATTTTATATCATAAACAAACCACTCAAGAACAGTCTCACTCAGTATAGATATTTAAACTAATCTGCTAGGCAAAACGAAAATGATTCCGTCAACAGGCAATAACAGTTCTATCTTTTTAGATTCAGTCCAATAAAGAAAATCCAATTAGATTCAGATCCTGGAAAGTAGAGACACATCAAATTAGTTGCCATGAAACATAATCTACCCTTACCACCTCCTCCGAGAAAAAAAACATTCACAAGAGGGAAAAACACTAGAAAACAAAGAACTGGCACTTACATGAAATATAACTTGACCAGCAGCTGCACCATTGTTAACCAACAAGTTGAATGAATCTGCACATTTCAAACTTCTGAGTTAAAGTAAGTTTACATGATAGAATTTATGGCACGTATATCAACCACAAACAAGTGCAAATTACGTTGTCATCCACATTTCACAAGAGAGATTAAAAGAAAAAACTAGCCAGCTAGTAAACATAGTGTTCTGTTGGTAAATTTATTTTCCTCAAAGTAACAGAAATTGTATTGAAGCTGCCTATATCATGTGCATGATCTACCTTGCAGAAAACTAGTTGAAATGACAGCGTAAACAAGAAGCTTTTAAATTACCATACACTTTGAAACAAAGTTTATATCTATATATATATATCTATATATATATATATATATATATATAGAGAGAGAGAGAGAGAGAGAGAGAGAATGCTTACAAGAAGTTGTGAAAATGTAGCTTATTACACAGGGCAAACTTGCCTAATAGAATACAATTGGTTAAATCTAATTACATTGGGTTAAGACTTTCTTGAGCAAAATAATGCCTGTCAGAGTTCTTTTCTAGATTGAAAAAAGCTTCGTCAAAAACAAACTTCAACCAGATAATTCTGTCATTATATAGACTGCAGGTAATAACAAAAAACAGCTGCCAGCCTACAGCATAGTGGAAAACCAACACTAGTGAAAGTATACGCAGATAGGTACTAATCATAGTGGTGAAGTTATGAGTTTGGTAATCCATATTTCCAAAATAAATTTTATAAAGAATGAATGAGGATCAGCAAACAAATACGGGCTGATTGTTTCTTTTAGTGGCTTCAGCTAGTTTTAATCTTCCAAACCCATAAGATAAGATATCTAGTATTGGGTCAAAGATTTAACCAGTGCACTTCCAAAAAGAAACCCTCAAGTGAGCTTGATGGCAAATTTGACACATATTAAGATAATATAGTCTAATAACTGTAACAAGAAGTGTGATTTCTAGATTATAACTGCAACAAAGACACTGCAGCTCATACCAGAACCAGTGGCTTTCATGATTGCATTGCCGATAAAAGGCACTTTTGAACACATCGCAGCTACCACCTGAATGCTCCTCAGAACACACATAAAAAGAAACTTTAAAAATTATTTATTCTAAAAAATTATCAACCAATCTCAATTTTGTACAGCATGATACTTCATCCATAATGATTACATGAATGGAAATATGTTTCAATACATATGGAGATAGCATATGAACAAATGCATGATATACACTTGTTTCACAAGGACCTAGCACAAAAGCCAAACTAATAGCTATATATCTTAGCATTTATGAAGTTAATGCGGCCTTGGTGAACTTGGACGCTATGTGTAACAAACAATGAATCCACTTTTTACAAACAAGAAGAAAAATCTTTGTTGAAGTTAAAGAGTGGAAAATATGTCGTTGCTTTGTCTTCACAACCTTTCTTTCATAACTCAGAGGCACATGTTAATACTTTTATCTGCTCACCTGTAAGTATAAAAAAATTTTATCCTATAAATATTCCCAATGTAAAATGTTTAGTATTATGGGAAAGTGCTCATGAATGCTTGAACAATATGTACAATTCATAAAGAAATAACAAACACAACATCTAGTGAACTTACAGATGGTGGAGTTGTGTCCAAGGAAGAAAAGTGAGACTTTGGGATAATAAGAGAGTGCCTAGGAAACAACAAAAAATAAAGTATGCCCAACTGATTAGTTTAACATCAACACTGAAAAAGTAAAATGCCAAAAATAATCATGGAAGTGATAACATATCAACACTAAAAATTTGTGATTATAACCTTTATCTTAGCAGGCCTTTTGACTTATAGGCTAAGATCAACATGTCAACCTCAAAATCAATGTGAAGTTGAATAACCACTCAACTAAGCTCAGCTGTCAGCCCAACCACAAAGCCGGGCAAAAAATGCATCCCAATCTACTGTGGACCATGGCCATAACAGTTTTTAACTCTAGGTTTTCATTTTGCACTCAAATGGGGTGTTAAAATAAAGGAATTTGCTCGCGAGTGCTCTAAGGGCACTCTTTAAGGTTACTATATTAAGTAATATGTTCTGCTAATGCAATGGAATTTATTACATTAACAGTCAACTACTACAGTTAAGACGAGAATATTACTAGTATCTTAACTAATCTTAAAGAGTGCCCCTAAGGTACTCATTAGCAAAATCCATAACAAAAATGCCCTTAAAAAGTTGAAAGCACAGCTCCCTTTCTCTCCCAACAGCACCTGCCCTTGAATTTGTTTTTCCAATGACTGCCCTAATATAAATAAATAATCAAAACACCATAATTATTTACAAGTATTAGAGAAATATTACCAAACACCAATTGGACTAAATGCAGTTTTCTTTTACTGCTTCAATCAGAACCTAATGGCAAGCTAAGCATCATAAAATAGAAAGAATAGCAGGATTTATCATAATTTCGCAATTTTCGGAACATAATTTCCTTATTATTAGCTAGCTACTTGGAGTTTAAAACAGTAAATACTAAATAATCAAATCTTATTGCAAAAAACATAGGAAAGATGATACCTTACCCACGACTCAAAGGACTCGTATCCAATATACACAAGCACATATCATCTTCATACAGCTGTCAATTAAAAATAAATAAGTTAAATTAGAAATTTAGAACTAAGCTGAGAACAATTAAATCTGGAAGAAAAAACGATTACTTTACCTTAAGAGCCGGGGATTCACCGCGAATAATTTGACAAAAAACGCAGTCGTTTCGCAGAGTTTTGCTATCGGAATCAAGTGGCTGCCTGCTGGACGCGCAGCCGGAAGCAGAAACGGTTGAG